CGATTTGTTAAAGTGGAAAGACCCATGCAACCAACAGGATAATCCTTCAGCCATTAAAGGGCCCCAGAATTGATGATAGCAATAATATGAGGAATATTGATGAGGACACCATCAGGAAATCTAACAGAATTAGCTAAAGTAATACAATACTTGGTATTAACAATAGAAATATAATTAATCCATCCAGATTCTATTTCTATGGTATTAACAACATAATATGGAATTAGCCCCTCCCCTCTACTTGTAGCTCCATCGAGGCTCTACAGAAGGGGGCGTGTGCTCTACAGAAGGGGGCGTGTGCTCTACAGAAGGGGGCGTGTGCTCTACAGAAGGGGGCGTGTGTGAGCCGCGCCACAGCCGAGGAGATCTACCGCTGCATCCACTACTCCTTTGACACCACCACAACACAGCCAGGAAGTGCAGCCTTTAGGCAGCCATCACTGCCTAGTTCCCCATTGGCACTTATCTAAGGTCTGTTTTGCCCTTTTCCTCCCTAACGGTTACTGTTTAGGATTTGGGGAGAGTGCGCTGATCCTAGAACTGAGCCTGAAGGACAATTTCCCTCAAACAGGACTTCTAACGCCATCAAGGCCTGGAATTGTGGCCCCAGATGGAATAAAACAGCCTGAAACAGGGAGGGATTACCTGGTCCAATAAGAAACACGCGTTTTTGTTCCCCCATTGCAAAATGTTTTCAGTTGTGTACAAGGCCCAGCCTTACTGTATATATTTCTTGCACATTGAAATAAGACTTGACGACGGACACTAAGGTGAATGTACAGTATGGTGAATGCAAATTGGGAGTACTCGCTCACTCCTATGTAAAACGTTTAACTGCGTTTGTTTTGTTTAACAAATTATTGAAGTTATTACCATTTCTGTTCAAATAACGTATTTTTGTGTTCATATTTTGTAGAGATCAAATATACTGTTTTGATCACTATTTTTCTATAACTCTTAAGTTGCTTTATTCAAAAACAAATTCACAAAAGTGTTTGACATGATTCAGTCAAAACACATTGACAGATAAGCACTCAAAATGAAGTTTATGCACATATACAGTGGGGCAAAAAAGTATTTAGTCAGCCACCAATTGTGCAAGTTCTCCCACTTAAAAAGATGAGAGAGGCCTGTAATTTTCATCATAGGTACACGTCAACTATGACACAAAAAATGAGAAAAAAAAATCCAGAAAATCACATTATAGGATTTTTAATGAATTTATTAGCAAATTATGGTGGAAAATAAGTATTTGGTCAATAACAAAAGTTTTGTCAATACTTTGTTATATACCCTTTGTTGGCAATGACACAGGTCAAACGTTTTCTGTAAGTCTTCACAAGGTTTTCACACACTGTTGCTGGTATTTTGGCCCATTCCTCCATGCAGATCTCCTCTAGAGCAGTGATGTTTTGGGGCTGTCGCTGGGCAACACAGACTTTCAACTCCCTCCAAAGATTTTCTATGGGGTTGAGATCTGGAGACTGGCTAGGCCACTCCAGGACCTTGAAATGCTTCTTACGAAGCCACTCCTTCGTTGCCCGGGCGGTGTGTTTGGGATCATTGTCATGCTGAAAGACCCAGCCACGTTTCGTCTTCAATGCCCTTGCTGATGGAAGGAGGTTTTCACTCAAGATCTCACGATACATGGCCCCATTCATTCTTTCCTTTACACGGATCAGTCGTCCTGGTCCCTTTGCAGAAAAACAGCCCCAAAGCATGATGTTTCCACCCCCATGCTTCACAGTAGGTATGGTGTTCTTTGGATGCAACTCAGCATTCTTTGTCCTCCAAACACGACGAGTTGAGTTTTTACCAAAAAGTTATATTTTGGTTTCATCTGACCATATGACATTATCCCAATCCTCTTCTGGATCATCCAAATGCACTCTAGCAAACTTCAGACGGGCCTGGACATGTACTGGCTTAAGCAGGGGGACACGTCTGGCACTGCAGGATTTGAGTCCCTGGCGGCGTAGTGTGTAACTGATGGTAGGCTTTGTTACTTTGGTCCCAGCTCTCTGCAGGTCATTCACTAGGTTCCCCCGTGTGGTTCTGGGATTTTTGCTCACCGTTCTTGTGATCAATTTGACCCCACGGGGTGAGATCTTGCGTGGAGCCCCAGATCGAGGGAGATTATCAGTGGTCTTGTATGTCTTCCATTTCCTAATAATTGCTCCCACAGTTGATTTCTTCAAACCAAGCTGCTTACCTATTGCAGATTCAGTCTTCCCAGCCTGGTGCAGGTCTACAATTTTGTTTCTGGTGTCCTTTGACAGCTCTTTGGTCTTGTCCATAGTGGAGTTTGGAGTGTGACTGTTTGAGGTTGTGGAAAGGTGTATTTTATACTGATAACAAGTTCAAACAAGTGCCATTAATACAGGTAACGAGTGGAGGACAGAGGAGCCTCTTAAAGAAGAAGTTACAGGTCTGTGAGAGCCAGAAATCTTGCTTGTTTGTAGGTGACCAAATACTTATTTTCCACCATAATTTGCAAATAAATTCATAAAAAATCCTACAATGTGATTTTCTGAAAAAAAAATTCTCAATTTGTCTGTCATAGTTGATGTGTACCTATGATGAAAATTACAGGCCTCTCATCTTTTTAAGTGGGAGAACTTGCACAATTGGTTTCTGACTAAATACTTTTTTTCCCCACTGTATTTCTTAGTGTTAGATTATTATCCTTTGTCCAACATTAATAGTTGATTGTATTCTCAATATTTGACTGTAGAAGATAACATGCGCTTTCAACCGTATGTCTGGCTGTCTAGTATCTTCGCACAGCCGCTGTCTCCCACACTCCGGGTGTCATTTAGCAGAGGAGGGGAGATTAATCAAGATACTTTGTAAAGAGGTGGGTTTTCAGACTTTTTCAGAATATGTTCAGGGACTCTGCTGTCCTAGCTTCAGGGGGAAGCAGGTTCAACCATTGGGGTGCCTGGACAGAGAAGAGCTTTGACTGAGCTGTAAACTATGAGCAACGAGTTGTGTGCGCGTTCACACGCTTTTAACTTGTTGAGAACGCCAACAGGCTAATGGCAAACAAACTGCGTCAACCATCAAGTAAAAGTACAGCTATCGTGCTCAAACAAATAAAGGCGTTCCAAAACCATATTAAAAAAGATTGCTTTTCATGAATAATGTTTTGTTGCATTTAACTGCCAGAAATGCTGTTATCGAGGTAATTTCCCTTAGTAGGTGACGTCAGAGGTTAGCATGTGGGAGCTCAGGATGATAGACAAGTTTCCCACTAGTAATTACCAGTTGGAGGGGCGTTAAAGTGGAATTTTCCCAGTCGTATGCTGGTATTTACAAATAAACTAGAGGTTATGAACGCAGCATCAGGCTTAGCCTTACATACGCTAAGGCTTAGGCCGGGATTCATTACGATCGCGCTTTGTTGACGACAACGCACCTTTTAAAGGCAACGTTCATTAGACCCATCGCCGTATGTCAGCTCAATCGGAAATTACCTATAAATGGCGCAGTCGACAAAGCACGATCGTATTGAATCCTGGCCTTAGGCAGAAATACTGACAATTGTACTCTGTTACTTTGTCTTGAAAAGACATGACAAAGAAGACTCATATCAGATAGTTTTATTATTTTTCCCACATATTGCTTTAGTTGAAAGAAATTACGACCGATACAGAACAAATATGACACGTACAAATGAAGAGTAACTGGCCTTTTCAAGCTCTTGAGCTCTTCTGGACAAATATCTAGCTCTGATTGGACGTGTTGTTTAACATTACAGTAAAACAGAAAGGAAGCAGCATTCCATTTAGTTGCCCTTGAATGTCTACGTCAACACAAATTGTGCTGTAAAATAAACAAAGACGAGAGGGACTGAAAGCACTGACCCAAATTCACAGTATAAATACATCATGTAGTACGCATCTCTGTACAAGCAGTGTCATCCAGCGTATAGAAACTAGTTATGAAATGTGTCCTTGTGAACCACACACGGTTGCAATTCAATTAGACAAGTCTTCGATATCCAAGAGCTGTATGTTTAACCTCCCCAGTGAAAGGATGCGATATTCAAGAGATTCCTTTACATATATCATACTTGTATAAAATAAAATGAGATGTACATCATTCAATATCATGTTTGTGTGTACAAATTGTACCACTTTTGCCCAAAATGTAACAGAATCAGGCTGTAAATGTCTATTGCTAGGGACTGTGCTGCCTCGAATACAGTACAATTCTACTGTACAAAAAAAAAGTTTAATCAAAACAATTCGCTCTGCACTTTCCTCATGTCATTTCATGCTATTAACTGCAGTCATTTCAGCACATTTGAGCAAATATTTCAGTTAATTCTGAATCTTTCAGTAAAATGAGCAATAAGGTGCCACCTTTACAGGGTCTGAGATATGACGGAGGTGAAATCCATGATTGTGTTGAAGTTAGGACTTTGAAGAACTAAGGCTGCTTTTACCCAGGCAGCACAATTCTGATCTATTTTATCTATACAGATCAGATCAACAATTGGGCAAAAGATCAGAATTGGAATGCTTGTGTAATTTCAGCCAAGAGTCATTTAAATCAGGAACCAGCTGATGCAGACATCGCACCCGTCTCTGGAATAACCAGTGCCATTCCAACAGGGTAGATAAAGAGGTTACTCGAGAGAATCTTCACTCGCGGACCTAAGGGCGCGTTCACACTGCTCGCCGTAAAAATCTATGCAAGGAAGTAATTTCATTGGTCCTAGCCCGGCAGAATCATTGATTAGAACCAATGAAATGGCTTCCTTTCTGGATGAGTTTTCCCCCGCAAGCTGTGTGAACGGACCGTTAGGTTCGAGGACATAGTTTGGAATCCCTGGCTAGGACTCTACTAATGAGTCTGCTCATAGGAAAGCTTCATGTATCTACACAGTAGGGCATATGTACATACCTTCAGACCAGTGGAGAACGGCTCATAATAATGGCCGCAACGGAGCAAATGGAATGGCAAACACCTGGAAACCATGGAAACCATGTGTTTGATGTACTTGATACCATTCCACGGAATCCGCTCCAGTCATTACCTTGAGCCCTTCAGACATACATAAATATACTCAGCTGTGCACACATATACAAGGGATGACTAAGAATGACCAGGTCAGCCATTTTAGTGCTTTTTCACTGATTGCTTTCTCCCACGAGTGACCAATTAGTTCACAAAAAAAACTCAACAATTCTATAAAAAAAGGCTGCTCTGTACAAAACCAGGGGTCAAAAAGGGACAAGTATTTACAAGCGCGGTTTACCATCTGAACAGACAGAGAGACATACATCTTGTAAAAATAGCCTTCGTCGTGACGCTAATGTTGAGTGGTCAAGTCACATCAGCTTATTAGCTGGTGCATTGTGGGACTGCTTCCAATCCAATAAGGGTCACCAGAGCAGAAACACAGTCTTCCACCGTTCACAGGCTTGAGGGCTGGGCCTGCTGTGGGCTCACAGTGAGCGAGGAGTGGGCGGGCTGGGGCTCACAGTCTTTGACGGCGACCTCATCGTCTCGCATGTACATGAGGAACAGAGTCACAGTGGCGAAGGTGGTGGCGTTGACGGGGAACGCCCGGAGCAGCGTGGAGGTGAGGCCGTGCGTGAACACCCGCCAGCCCTCCCGCTTCAGGCTCTGACGCACGCAGTCCGCGATGCCGTTGTACTTGTTCTGGCCGCCCACGCCGTCCGCCTGGAGCCGGGACTTTATGACGTCCACGGGGTAGGTGGAGATCCACGAGGCGATGCCCGACATGCCGCCGGCGAACAGCAACTTGAGGATCATGTAGGGGTCGTCGGGTTCGCAGCCCAGGGAGCGCGTCAGGACGTCGTAGGTTAGGAAGTAGATCCCGAAACCCGGTGTCTCGCGGACCAGCGTGGTCACCATACCCCGGTTGATACCGCGGAAGCCCTCCTTCCGGTAGATGCGCACCAGGCAGTCCAGCGAGTTCTTGTACAGCTTCTGCTTGGACTTCCGCTCACCCAACCCCTGCAGCTGCATGCGTGTCTTGGCCAGCTCCATGGGGCAGCAAATGACACTCTGCAACGCGCCCGCCGACGCCCCAGCCAGGAACTGGTTGAGCGGCGTGTCGTAGCCCAGCCTGCGCATGGCGTTGCCCTGGACACCGAACACAATGGCATTGATGAAGGTCAGGCCCATCATGGGGGAGCCAATGCCTTTGTACAGCCCCGTCATCTGTGGACACACGGCAGAGAGAGGAAGAGAAAGAGAAAACATGAGTGAAGTAATTGGGTAATTTAAGTTGATTGACGCTGAAGAACTTGGCACAAACAAACATATTAGTAGTTTGCCACTGCCAAATCACACTTTGACCACAATAAATGCTGTTTAAGGCCATACTCTTCATAAGGCAATTCTATAATGCTAATATACTAAGCTGCTATTCTACTATAATACTGACAGCCTTAACCTAAAACTTAACCGGCTCGAGTGACAAGGTGGTTCTCTTAATTTAGCCAAGCAGCAGGCGTAACACCCCGATTGACCTTGGCTACTGATATGTCTTTCCCCAACCTCCTCCCCCCAGACTGGCCAATAGTCTCTCTGCTAGGCAGACATTTACAATTTAGTCATTTAGCAGACGCTCTTATCCAGAGCGACTTACAGGAGCAATTAGGGTTAAGTGCCTTGCTCAAGGGCACAGAGATTTTTCACCTAGTCGGCTCGGGGATTAGAACCAGCGACCTTTCGGTTACTGGCACAACGCTCTTAACCATTAAGCTACTTGCCGCCCCTGACCTCTGTTGAAGCCATAGAGATAGATAGGGGACTCATCTTTACATTCAGTATGTGCCATTACAGCGTCTGTGACAGCATGGCAGCGCCATTGAGGCTACAACCCATAGGAATCCCCACAACTTTAAAATGGCGGAAGCCCTCAATGGTGCTGCCCATGCTAAAACTGCCAGTTAGGATCACCACTTTATTTTAAGAATGTGAAATGTCAGAATAATAGTAGAGAGAATGATTTATTTCAGCTTTTATTTATTTCATCACATTCCCAGTGGGTCAGAAGTTTACATGCACTCAATTAGTATTTGGTAGCATTGCCTTTAAAATTGTTTAACTTGGGTCAAACGTTTTGGGTAGCCTTCCACAAGCTTCCCACAATAAGTTGGGTGAATTTTGGCCCATTCCTCCTGACAGAGCTGGTGTAACTGAGTCAGGTTTGAAGGCCTCCTTGCTCGCACACGCTTTTTCAGTTCTGCCCACAAATTTTCTATAGGATTGAGGTCAGGGCTTTGTGATGGCCACGCCAATACCTCGACTTTGTTGTCTTTAAGCCATTTTGCCACAACTTGAGGTATGTTTGGGATCATTGTCCATTTGGAAGACCCATTTGCGACCAAGCTTTAACTTCCTGACTGATGTCTTGAGATGTGGCTTCAATATATCCACATACTATTCCTTCCTCATGATGCCATCTATTTTGTGAAGTGCACCAGTCCCTCCTGCAGCAAAGCACTCCTCCCACAGCATGATGCTGCCACCCCCGTGCTTCACGGTTGGGATGGTGTTCTTCGGCTTGCAAACCCCCTTTTTCCTCCAAACAGAACGATGGTCATTATGGCCAAACAGTTCTATTTTTGTTTCATCAGACCAAAGGACATTTCTCCAAAAGTACGATGTGCAGTTGCAAACCGTAGTCTAGCTTTTTTTTATGGCGGTTTTGGAGCAGTGGCTTCTTCCTTGCTGAGCGGCCTTTCAGGTTATGTCGATATAGGACTCGTTTTACTGTGGATATAGATACTTTTGTACCGGTTTCCTCCAGCATCTTCACAAGGTTCTTTGCCGTTGTTCTGGGATTGATTTGCACTTTTCGCACCAAAGTACGTTCATCTCTAGGAGACCGAACACATCTCCTTCCTGAGCGGTATGACGGCTGCGTGGTCCCATGGTGTTTATACTTGCGTACTATTGTTTGTACAGATGAACGTGGTACCTTCAGGCATTTGGAAATTGCTCCCAAGGATGAACCAGACTTGTGGAGGTCTACAAATGTTTTTCTGATGTCTTGGCTGATTCCTTTCGATTCTCCCATGATGTCAAGCAAAGAGGCACTGAGTTTGAAGGTAGGCCTTGAAATACATCCACAGGTACACCTCCAATTGACTCAAATGATGTCAATTAGCCTATCAGAAGCTTCTAAAGCCATGACATCATTTTCTGGAATTTTCCAAGCAGTTTAAAGGCACAGTCAACTTAGTGTATGTAAACTTCTGACCCACTGGAATTGTGATACAGTGAATTATAAGTGAAATAATCTGTCTGTAAACAATTGTTGGAAAAATTACTTGTGTCATGCACAAAGTAGACGTCCTAACCGACTTGCAAAACTATAGTTTGTTCGATTCCCACGGGGGGCCAGTATAAACAAATATGTATTCACTAACTAAGTCGCTCTGGATAAGAGCGTCTGCTAAATGACTAAAATGTAAATGTAAAGTAAATGTTAACAAGAAATGTGAGGTGTGGTTGAAAAACGAGTTTTAATGACTCCAACCTAAGTGTATGTAAACTTATGACTTCAACTATACACACAGCCTAGTTTGGACACACCTACTCATTCAAGGGTTTTTCTTTATTTGTACTATTTTCTACACTACAATATTAGTGAAGAAATCAAAACTATGAAATAACATATGGAATCATGTAGTAACCAAAAAAAGTGTTAAATCAAAATATATTTTAGATTCTTCAAAGTAGCCACCCTTTGCCTTGATGACAGCTTTGCACACTCTTGGCATTCTCTCAACCAGCTTCATGAGCTAGTCACCTGGAATGCATTTCAATTAACAGGTGTGCCTTCTTAAAAAGTTAATTTGTGGAATGTATTTCCTTCTTAATGCGTTTGAGCCAATCTGTTGTGTTGTGACACGGTAGGGGTGGTATACAGAAGATAGCCCTATTTGGTAAAAGACCAAGTCCATATTATTGCAAGAACAGTTCAAATAAGCAAAGAGAAACCACAGTTAATCATTACTTTAAGACATGCAGGTCAGTCAATCCGGGAAATTAAGAACTTTGAACGTTTCTTGAAGTGCAGTCGCAAAAACCATCAAGCGCTATGATGAAACTGGCTCTCATGAGGACCGCCACAGGAAAGGGAGACCCAGAGTTACCTCTGCTACAGAGGATAAGTTCATTAGAGTTAACAGCACCTCAGATTGCAGCCCATATAAATGCTTCAGAGTTCAAGTAACAGACATCTCAACAACAACTGTTCAGAAGAGACTGTAAATTAGGCCTTCATGGTCGAATTGCTGCAAAGAAACTGCTACTAAAGGACACCAATAAGAAGAAGAGACTTGCTTGGGCCAAGAAACACGAGCAATGGACATTAGACCGGTGGAAATCTGTCCTTTGGTCTGATGAGTCCAAATTTGCGATTTTTGGTTCCAACCGCCGTGTCTTTGTGAGACGCAGAGTAGGTGAACGGATGATCTTCCCACTGTGACGCATGAAGGAGGTGGTGTGATGGTGTGGGGGTGCTTTGCTGTTGACACTGTCAGTGATTTATTTAGAATTCAAGGCACACTTAACCAGCATGGCTACCACAGCATTCTGCATCGATACGCCATCCCATCTGGTTTGCGCTTAGTGGGACTATCATTTGTTTTTCAACAGGACAATGACCTAAAACACACATCCAGGCTGTGTAAGGGCTATTTGACCAAGAAGGAGAGTGATGGAGTGCTGCATCAGATGACCTGGCCTCCACAATCACCCAACCACAACGGAGATGGTTTAGGATGAGTCGGACCGCAGAGTGAAGGTAAAGCAGCCAACAAGTGTTCAGCATATGTGGGAACGCCTTCAAGACTGTTGGAAAAGCATTCTTCATGAAGGTGGTTGAGAGAATGCCAAGAGTGTGCAAAGCTGTCATCAAGGCAAAGGGTGGCTATTTGAAGATCTTAAATATAACATACTTTTTTGGTTACTACATGATTCCATATGTGTTATTTCATAGTTTTGATGTCTTCACTATTATTCTACAATGTAGAAAATAGTAAAAATAAAGAAAAACCCTGGAATGAGTAGGTGTCCAAACTTTTGACTGGTACTGTATATATACACACACTTTTTATTTTATTTTTATTCATTTTTTACAAACAGCTGACTGAAGACAGGACGGCTGAGCATTTGAGTCAGTTTCTGCAGTAACATTGATTCTTAATAACGTGATTAAACTCTAGCTCCTAGCTGAAACAAGCAATGTTTTGTAACAAATGAGTCTTCGGTTGCTTAGGCAACGCCCCCCACAATGCAGCAGCAGCACAAAGAAATTGAATGAATAGAACGGGTTTGGAACCTCCCTGGCAATTTGACTGGTAAACTCATGGGTACACTCAAATTCAAAGTTTGTTTGCGTACACAGATTTACAGATGTTATCGCAGGTGCAGCGAAATGCTTGTCAGTACTATGGGTACACTCACAATGGCCGCCAGTCCACTCATTATTGACTTGAATGGGGACGCCCGTTCTATTCATTCTATTTATATGGCAGCACATGCAGTCAGGAACGGAGGAGAGGAGAAAATGTGCGTCCCCCAAAAAATGTGAACGTTATTACGGAGACCGGTCATTTGGCTGGCAATTACCGTCAACGAAAAATCCATGACCGTCACAGCACTAGTTGTTGCATCTTTACATTCCCCCTCTTTCCAACTGATTTTCTGTCACATATAGAACCGCTCGCATCAGGTGCGCTGTTTAGAATGGAGTTTTCCCACAAATTGCATTTTGGCAAATGTTTTGAAAATGTTGTTTTATTGGCTGCATTGTGATTTGTCTTTATTTTCTGTCATTCTGAGCACAGTGGGGGGGAGGGGGGGCTTGCGGATTGAGCGTTTGACACCACTATTCTACAGACTTGGTACTGTGAGGAACTTGATTCCGTAACGGTGGTGGTCGTACTCACCGACTCTTGCCGTACGATAGACTGGAAGCAGTGATACGTGCCGCGGTACAGAGGTCTGTCCACACTCTGAACTTGGAGTCGTACCTGAAAATGGAAGCCTCAATGTTAGTGTAAAAGCACAGAAGGCAATACCGCCACATTTAATAATATCATACACATTACACAACTACACATAAAAAAACGCATAGAAAAAAGATAATATAAATAAACGTTACTATTGTGCAATGTAGTGTACTACAGTATAAGAGTTGAGTGGGGTGCAATTTGGGTGACAAAAAGGAGGGTGAAATTATAATATATAGTTTTTTTTGGTGCTATTTTGTAAATCTGGAGGATATTTTTCACAAAATAAAACAGGGGAGAAACAGAAGACCTTGACCGTACTTACTAGCCAGGTCACACATCCGTGCAGAGGTTGTATATCCCTCATCTACAACACAGTGACACTTATGCTGTTAAAGACAGCCCTCCCCATTCAGGGATAAAACCAACAGTGTCCCTCTCTCCACAACTGTATTAATATAAAAAACGATTATGAACACAAAAAAATATATATATAAAGTTCTGACTCAATTGTCAAAATATCATGTACAAATATCATGATACGTGTTATAACTTGTATGCTTAGAAATTATTAAGAGTACACAGCAAAAATATTTGAAGATTTAGTGTCTGCAAATTACTGCTCTTAGAAGACTAATCGTATGAGAAGATAAACATTTCAGTACAAGCCTCGTAAATTGTATCTTTAAAACAATTAAACCTACTGATTATTAGTTTCCACAGCTATATAAAATAAACTACATGAGAAAGGCTATTTTGAGGCTAAATAATGAGAACTTTATGCCATGACTGGTATAACTTTACTAGAAATTACCTTAAAGTAACAAAATGCATGTTCTTAAAAAAAAAAATACCTTGCCCGCTGCCTTGAAAAATTTTAAAATCATTTTACCAGCAGGTTGGAAGTAGCATCTTGTTTACAGGGGGATCCATAGCATTCAAAAATGCAAACCCCTAAAATGTGAAACGGAAAAACAAACACAGAAGAACACCTGCAGATACACTGAGTGTACAAAACATAGACTGACCAGGTGAAAGCTTTGATCCCTTATTGACGTCACTTGTTAAACTTCAAAAATCAGTGTAGATGAAGGGGAGGAGACAGGTTAAAGAAAATGTTTTAAACCTTGAGATAATTAAGACATGGATTGTGTGTGTGCCATTCAGAAGGTGAATGGGCAAGACAAAATATTTAAGTGCCTTTAAAAACGGGGCATGGTAGTAGGTGCCAGGCACACCGGTTTGTGTCAAGAACTGCAACACTTCTGGGTTTTTCACGCTCAACAGTTCTCTTTGTCGACTCGGTTCGACATCTCACTATGGGACACGCTCTCTTTTGCGGGTCATTGGTTGAAGCCTAATTCAATCACGCCTAACAGGCCAATCAGAGCTTTGTGGGTGTACGCCTGAGTGTCTATAGAACACCCTGCACTGCTCTGGTTTCCTCATTCTTCGCCTCTTCACGAGTCCATTTGGTTACGATCTGGTTACTAGCCCGTTAAGCAGCTTTATTCAGTAAACTAGCTCCCAACTTAACTGTTCCTTTCGGTGTGGGTTACCACCCCACAACATAGCGTGGAGTGGCTTATTTTCTATTTTTCAGGAATTCTGCTAACTTCAGCTTCACTTTACAGAGTGAAGTTACCTCAGTTAGCAGCTCTTTTTGTCGTCAGCTAGCTACAGTACACCTGTTTCCTGGCCTACACACAATTGCAGTTGTTAGCTAGCTAACTGCAATGCTTTAGCATCCCACTAATAGCAGGTTCCCACACATTTTTGCTACTTCTACCCGGGGTTTCTAGCTCTCCGTCGGTTTGTTTGGCTAGCACGAGCGGTGCGGTTTCTTCAGCGTGTTACCCCCACCATTGAAGCGCCATCCCTTTTTTATTCCCCTGTGAAAGATAACCCAGCCGTGCGTTCTACCTCAAGTTACTTGGTTTACACACCGAGTCGGCACTTGGTATCTCACGCGACGGCTTGGCTAGCATCACTCAAGTGAAGACAGCCAGCTAATTAGCTAGCATCAGTGTTGGCTCTACTTTCACTACACCGAAAGTATAAAGACAGCATTTATTTCTCACCACCCTGGTAAATAAAGCTTTCGGTTTCTGCTTAACTGGCTTAAGCTCACATTACCGTGTCTCTCCCGACTTCACATCGTAGTAGCAGCACGTGGAGTGCCTTGCTAGCCCCCCGGTAATTCCATTTGCTTTTGTCCGTCCGGTCGAAACGAGATGTCGACAGGCTTACGGGCCAAGTCATCAGGGAAGGTGGAGAAAAAGCAGCACAAGCCTAGCAATGCTCGCCCTGGCAACTGCAGGCATTACATGTCCGGGACGGATTCCCATACGCTCTGTACTACTTGCCTCGGCGTTGAACACACTATGGAGGCTCTCGTTGACCCCGCTAGTTGTGTGCATTGCGCTCAGCTGGGCTCCGGTGTCCTTAGACGTAGAGCGAAGTACATGGAAAGTATTGCCCAGGCTTCATACTTGCGCGAGGACAACTCTGTTGACAACGAAGTCCCAGAGGAGGGAGATGCTAATTAGGCATCCCCTCCGTCTGCGCATCAGGCTGATTCGGGGGAAACCCCACTTTTCCCAGGGGGTGGACCTTATTTCCGACCAATCCAGAAGTGAGGATGACGGCATGTCTCTTGCCACATCAGGTAGCGCCCTTTGACCAGGAGATGGATTACGCCACTGAAGAATGTCTCCCCTCTGCTCATTTTGTGCTACCCAGCCAGACTGAAGAGGCAGGAGTCAATAACTGACCTCTTCTTCGAAGCAATCAGATGCGCTGCCACCAAACTGGATGTTGATGCCACGCCTCCCCCACCTTCTGGGTGGGTCATGGCGCACGCGACCGTCGTCCAGAGAGCCCTCTGGCTGAACAACGCAAGGGTGACAGAGGGAGAAGGGAAAGATCCTGAATGGACAGATCGATTCCACCAGACTGCTTGTACCAGCCATATCGGAGATACAGGCCAGGTTCGAGTCTAAGAAAAAGGAGACTGAGGCGCTGGGCTCCCGGTTACCACAGAAACAAACCCCCAGAAGCCCACGTTCACCCAGGTCGTCACCATGAGACCTCCCTCCCAGAACTGGAGGATCCCCAAGAAGTCTCAGCAGCCTTCTCCGGCTGCTCCGACCCTGGGACAGACAGTCCCCTCACCCGCAACGCAGTGCCTCAGGGCATCACACCAAGCAACGAGCAGCGGAGACCCCCTTAGCGTCATCCGGAGGGAAGGGGAAGAATCGGCACTTCCCTCCAGATGACGCTAAGGGGGTCTCCGCTGCTCGTTGCTTGGCGTGATGCCCTGAGGCACTGCGTTGCTGGTGAAGAATCGGCACACATAGCGTAAGGCGCAGGGGCTCGAGGAGCCGGCAAGGCTTTGCAGGCCCCCGTCCCTTCCACGGGGCAGGTTGCCCACATGCAGAGTGACACCAGTGGGGCGACGCGGGATCCCTTGCTCCTCACAGAGAGCAGTGGCGCACGTGTGCAGTCTCCCCTTGGGTCCTATGCACCATAGACCAGGGGTACAGAGAACAATTCGCAGGGGTCCCCCCCGCATTTCATGGAAATGGTGCTGTTAGATCCGATTCTGCCGAATGAGTGGTTCACCACAGTAGACCTCAAGAATGCTTATTTCCACAGAGTTTATCCTGTAGGAGATATCTAAGGTTCGCCTTCGAGGGCATAGCCCTCCCACGAATACCTCACCTTACCATTCGGTTTGTCCCTTGCCCTACGTACATTCACAAAGTGTGCCGAACTGCCCTAGCCCCCCTACGGGAGATAGGCTTGAGAGTCGACGATTGGTTGATCTGCGCGGACACTCGAAGCTCAGGCAGCGGAGCACTTTTTTTCACCACTGACTTGTTTTTCCCAGCATCATCAGTCATGAGAGACTTCCAGCAGTGGGTGACCTCACTCTGCTTGAACCTGTCCATCCACAGGCGCGTGCTTCTCTCTGCAAATTGTCTATCGGCACATCAATGCTGGAGAAACACATCCCTCCTGACACGGGGCTGCCCTACTGGGACAGTCTTCACACGCAAAGTAGTGACAACGGAAGCATCACTACAGGGATGGGGGGGGAGCAGTCCACGAAGGGCGTGCGGTGAACGGCGTATGGTCAGACTATGAGTACAGCCCATATCAACGTTTGAGCTCTACACTGTTATTAGCCCTCAGGCACTTCTGTCCATTCCTACAGGGCCATCGTTGACAATACGTCAACGATGGCATATATCAACCACCAAGGAGGAACGTGCGAGTGGAGACTTCATCCCGAAGTCGTCAAGGAGGTGTGGGGGCGTTATGGCAGGGCTACCGTCAATCTGTATGCGTCGCAGGACAACGCGTACCGTCTCTTGTTCTTCACGATGTGAGATCACAACGCTCCTCTAGGCGTGGACGCGCTAGCCCACAAGTGGCCAGACGTGCTTCTGTACGCCTTCCCTCCAGTGGGCCTGATCCCCCACCTATTCTTGACAGTGAGAGCGAACGGGCTATTCCTCATACTGATAGCCCCGCATTGGCCCAGTAAGCCATGGCAGGTGGAGATTGTACCTCTCCTGTACGCGCAACCATGGCGCCTCCCATCGCGCAGGGATCTCCTATCCCAAGCGCAGGGTGAAATATTCCACCCTCATCCCGAGCTGATGGATCTCTGGTCCTGGCCAGTGAGAGGTCCAACTTGCCACAATTCAGAGCGCCAGAGCCCCTTCTACAAGAGGTCTTTACGACCTGAAGTGGAGGGTATGCGAGAGGTGGTGTGAGAGACGAGAGTTGGTCTCCTTTCAGTGTTCCATCCCTGCCATTCTCTCCTTCCTACAGGAACTGCTTGACAAGGGCAAGGCCTTTTCCACCATTAGGGTCTACTTGGCGGAATTCTCAGCCTGCCATGCAGGACTACGATCAGGGCTCACATCCTTGTTCGTATTTTTATGAAGAGAGCGCATCGTCGCCGTCGGGTCTCCAAGCCACTTGCCCTATCATGAGACTTGGCGCTGGTTCTGGATGCGATCACTTTGGACGCCTGGAGACAGTGGATCTTAAGACTCTTAAGACACGGCCAAGCGCGTTAGCGACTTTCATGCGCTCTCGGTTCATCCTTCATGCACTCAGTTTGCCCCAGGCTACTCCAAGGTTAGGATACATCCTAACGCCGCGTTCATTCCTAAGTTCATTCCCATGACTTCTAGTAGTCAAGCCACCGCTCTCTTCTCCAGAGCAGCAGCGCCTTAACCCGTTGTGTCTGGTGCACACACTGCGCATCTACATGGACAGGACTAGGCCATTCCGGAGTTGTGACCAACTGTTTGTTTACTTTGCCAACCCTGCTCGGGGTAGGGCTTTGTC